TTTTTTTTTTTTTTTCACACACACACACACACACACACACACACACACACACACACACACACACACACCCCTCTACATGTATATATGTACATTATGTGTCAGCTCCGGCCGGCCCACAGACCCAGAGCTGCCCTTTGGGTGGGAACTGGGGAGCTGCCAAGAATCATGCTTACCAGCTGGAGATGTACCTCCTGCACAAGCAATCCATAACTATACATGACTGAGTTGCCGGGTGATTTCCAGTGACATCTCCATCTCCATAACTGATAACTGACTGAGAACAATCCACTCAGAGCAGCGGATGTCAGCTCTATTAATTTATTCATTGCCTTAGTGCTTTGTTTGTCAGTTCATGCCAGAGGAAGATGAATTGCATTTTCAAACCGTCTCTGTGTTTGGCTCTTTTGATTAACCCTTCAGAACCTGACCGTTTTGTCAGAATTCCCACCAGAGCTTGCACTATGGCTGAAGGTACAGTGCTTGGGTTGGAGGCTGCAGACTTGGAGGAGTCTGTTGTGGCAACTGATACAACTGTGCTGGATGCGGTGTCAGGGCCAGCAGGACAGGCACCATTGGATGTAAGGCCTAAGGACCACTTGGTGGCATGGAAGCCTATAGCAGAACCACTAGAGGCCGATGTGGGGCAGGCCCATGCTGGGGATTGGTGTCAGGGCTTGACAGGGTTCGGGACCACAAAGGCTTTCCACCCTATACTCCCCTGCTCACCCCTTCTGGAACCATTTCACTCAACGGCGTGAAAGGCACATATCAGATTATGGTTGGAGTTACTCCACCGCAGTGGGTGGCCAAACCATACAGGTACTGCAGGAAATGTTTGGGGCAGTGGGCTTCTGAGATAATGGACGTGGCAGTGGTTGGAGAGATATTGAGACAGAATCCCTGGAACATGGACCCTAACAGGCAGGGGGAGTCATTGGACAGTCCAGTATAACCAGTCCAGAATGGTTTGGTGCCCAAAGGGCCCCAATAGTAGGAGATCAGCACCCCGGACTAGAGGTACCTCAAGCTGCCCGGGACACTGCAGGAGGCGAGTGGCAGGAGAGAGCTATGCACCCCACCCTCTCCTTACCCAGAGAGCTATGCACCCCACCCTCTCCTTACCCAGAGAGCTATGCACCCCACCCTCTCCTTACCCAG